GTTAAAAACCGCAAGTCCAATTGCTTTGATATTACATATATAGATACTACATATGGACCACTCTCAAATTTGTTCATTTCATGATATCTTCAATTCTCTAATTTTGATGAATATTTTTGTCATTTTTGGTAAAAAGTGATATTTTCTTCTTGTTAAAAACCACAATCATTTATGGTCAAAAATGATATTTTTGAATTCTTGTTGAAAACAGCAAGTCCCATTGCATTGATACTATGCATATTGTTCATTTTCTAATGATATCTTCTGTTCTTTAATCGAAATGTGCATTGCTAACAGCGGAGCTATCTCAGCCGAGAGGCTGCTTGTTTGCTTAAGCCTTCTGATTAAAAACCCTGGCACAGATCCTCCAATGAACCTGCTTTTTAATTAATTGCAAAATTTATTTATTTCCTTTTTACAGAAAAGACTGAGACAGTCTAACCTGGCTTAAAAGTTTTACAACATGAATGCCACACAATGTCATAGTGACCTCTGAATTATTGATTTATGTGGTGCTGGTAACTACATGATTACAGGAAGTCAAATTTAATAGTTTCTTCAGACAGTACTGCATTTAAATCTGCTTGTAAATTCTAGTAAGAGTTGTAAGCAAACTACCGGTATTAGTTTCAAGATGTTTTCCAAATTGAGGCAGAAAGATTTTTCAAATATGGATTTACTACATTATTAATGAATATAATCTTTTCATAACAAATTCACAAAATAGTCCCATTTATAGTCTGCAACTGAAAATTTACTCAAAATTTGTCTGTCGGCTCCAAAATTAGAGTTCATTTCCAGAAATATTGAAGAATACAAGAAAAAACTTGCAGACAAATTTTGGTGAGAAAGTCTGGTGGTAAAAAGGTTAAGTAACATTATTCTTGATTATAAAAAAGAAAGATTTTCAATGAATATTTTCAACAATGTCGTTTGTCCATGTATGTCAACTATTGAGAATAGGCTGCTAAATATAAATATGTAATGTTTAATAATGAGTGGTAATAATTTCACTTTCTGTATATTTGATTAATTAAACAGTAATTAAAATGTGTTTTTAATTTTACCCTGATTATGGACGTAAAATATTTTTATAAAACTTGAATAATGTGTCAGGTACAGGTCTTTAGAGAGCAGAGGGTGTACACAACAGTTCAATAGTTTCACCTATTCTGGGACACATTGTTTTCTTTTGATAACTCATGTGCACATGCTTCAAGCCTTGTAAAACTGAACTAGATTAAAGCTATTTTTTCACATTTTTTTTTTTTTTTTGTGTATTATTGTCAAGAAATTTCAACTTTTAAGATATCATGAAATAAATAAATTTATTATACATCTGTCACCGTAACGCCATAAGTTACAGCGTGTCGTAATTTTGCTGTATTTTATAGGGTATTTTCATCCTATAATATTAAAAAATGTGAATTCCCAATATGGAATGATTACGCGCGTAAGCTTTCTCTAATAATAAACATGACTGCCATCGGGGTTTACCCGGACTCCACACAAAGAAGTTTGCTGATTCTGTATAAACTTTTTAGATTCCCATGATGTTTCCTTGGAAGGAAAAGATGTACAATGAGGTTATTATGACAATACCTCAATGTACTCAGTCGTCACATCAACCTCCGCTGCATGTCAGTTGATGCTCTTGGTATACTGTCTTTGTGCATACTTTGCGGTATCCTTGTAACCTTGAAGAAGTCTAAAATAATCTGGCCATGTATTTTTGTCAGGCTATATAGAAGAATTGTAACTAATATTGATTGCCTATTCAAAAGATTCACTGTTAGTTTTCACTTGCAAGTGCAAAGCATACAAGTCTTTATTTTAAAGAAACTTGATACATAGATGCTCTGGGATGAAGTACAGACCTGATTTGTTTTTAGAGGGAACAGTGAATGAAAATTCCACTGTAAGTGCTTTACCATAAAACATGAATAATAAATTTACACATCGCCTCGCACACAACAAACTTCACTGATAGCACAAGGATAAATGATATTTGCCATTTTAATGAAACACTGTCATGACAATCCAGTAACTTTGAGGGCAATCTCAAATGAGTACAAGTGAAAATATTCCTACATTTCTGTACATGAATTAAATTGCTTTGAATTAAAGGTGTAAATTTCTGCAGTCCCAACTAAGCCTTGTTGGTGTGTCGTTAAATGGTGAGTGTTAAGAGATTGAAAGCTGCAGTTAAAGAGCAGAGTACACAGAGGGCATATTTCACCTAAATCTCATGAACAAGTTGCATAGTATGTGCATATACTGCATTTGCTTTAAAAGAGGTGCTTACAAAAATACAACCAAAGCAGTTCACAGAAGTGTTGGGCTGGAATCCAAAAACTGCTGAAATCATGGTTTCTATCGGCGGTGCACTTCTGATATAGTAAATACGATATATAATTTTTTTTCTTCGAGATGAGATCCAAAACACACTGAATTCACTCGTTTCAAGCGAAAACCAAATAACTAAGGCATCATATAGGGGGCACACTGCCATCACATGTTGCACTCAGTTTACTAACCAAATTGTACATGATACTAAGCAAGATCAAATCTTTTGTAACAGAATTGCAATGAACAAACAATTTCCAACTAGTTTATTTGCTATCGATATCGACTTCTACAGCACTGCTGACTGCATTACCCACAATACACTGCAGGAACAAGATGAAGGATTCACATTGTAAATGTTGTAGCCTGGCATGGAATGACATTGACAGGAACATACGAGTTCATTACCACCATACAAAGCTTGTTCAGTGCAAATCTGATATATTCTGTGATACAGATGGCAGGTTCTAAAAAAATCTTTTTGTCCAAATAAATTGAAACACATCACAAAGTTCAAAATAGTCAGGTAGCTGAGAAAACCGAAGACAGTAAGAAAACTTCTTGCATAATAAAGATACTATATTTATACAAAACTCGTTTTCTTTTTCTCAGTTTTTTATTTTTTGCTAAATTTATCAAAAACTTAAAACGTGATAAGATGAAAGATGTTTTTCTTTCACTCATTCAGTGTTGTCTATGAGCGTTTTTTTTTTTCGTCTTGGCTTAGTCTTTTTTTTAAAAATGAACATTTTTGTCAAGAAATAACAAAAACAAACATTTCAGAAAAAAAAGTACTTTTACAAAAAAGTCAATGTTGACAAACCATCTCTTTAGACATGATGTTTAACTATTTATAGAAAAGGCAGTTTTACAACAAATACACAATGTGTCTATAATAACACAACAAATTAAATTCACAACTTTCATACATTGCCTACTGATAAAGATTTTCTTATCTCTCTTTCAAATTACTTATCATATACTGTCATTTGAAAAAAACAAGATATTCACAAGTCTGAATTCTCTTTGAATAGTTTTAAATTAAAACAATACATTTAAACTTTACAAACTGTATGTTGATTTTTTTTAAAAATTTCAAAAAATGTATTAAAAAAAATGTTTCTCAATAACTTACGCGAGGGGAGCTAAAGAATGTTAACAAAAATGTTGACTCCTCATAACAGAAATTTATATTCAGCTTTAGCTAATATTAGAATTCCCAAAATTTAGGATGAATCATTGTCAATTTTTCTTTTCAAATAAAACCCAACTATGTATTAAATACCAGTATTCCCTTATTTAGTAAACCTTACAGCAAACTGTATACAGCCAGCTTTGCAATAAAATCTTTCAATGTATCATCTTTCCATTCTAATTACGAAAAAATGCAAATCAACTGAACCATTCAGTAGGGTTTTAAAGTCAAAATGACCCCATCCCCCCTCCCCAACAAAAATATATGTGAAAAGTTTGAAGTATTTGAGAACTGTTCCAGTTTGAACAATATCAAAACAATTTTCTAAACAAATGTACTGGTATCAAATATCTAACAGCTGACTGATAAAATTAAACTACTTATAAAATGTCATCTTTATATCTTTGGGTTTTTGTATTCTATACAACATCCACTGATGGTTTAAGTCTTTTTACTTGGTGAGTCATAATCAG